TCTTCAAGTACTTTCATCTTAAAGACCAAAAAACAAAACTCAAAATAGTTATTAGCTTACTTGGTTTGTAATTCACAGTTTTCTGTTTTTAAAAAACTGAAAACAAAAAAATGTATAAAAAATTCTGCTTGGTTCAATTTTTTGAAAACTGTTTTATGAAAACTCAATTATAAAAAGGTCTGTTTTTAGAGAATTGTCTTTTATTGTTTTTTGAAAATTATTTTTTAATTTCTTAAAAACTGTTTTTAACGTTACAAACTAAGTATACCCTATATATTTAGAATTGTTAGAATGTAGTCAATCTTCTTGGTATGTTTGTAGTTCTTATCTTTAAATCTCTAAATCCATTTTCACCATAATCTTAAAAAATTGTGCCTAGTGCCTGTATTATAAAGCCACAAAGTTTGAAACAAAAAGATGCCAACACAAAACTACTTATAAAAGTGATCCCACACATAATAAATAAATAAAAAATTACAGATTTTTTATTATATATTATTAAATTAAGAATTGATCACTTGTCTTTTGCTCAACGTGTCGTGGGTACAAATTAGCTAATGAATTTGTAATAAATTTGAAAACAAAATGCTCTAGTGAAGTTGGAACAATGGTTTTTCTCGCACAAAGTTACTAAGAAGTATTAATATGGCCTATGAAATGATTTTTAGGTATGTGCATTAACGAACCAAAACTCTATCCAGTGCAATTTAAATTAATGATCCAACACACTACATTGTGGAAGCAACGACTATATGACAATGATATAAATATTCATGCAACAAATTTACTTTGAAAATACAACACCAATGCAACATATTACTTCCAGATGTAATATTGTAACATCGTTCAATCCAAAATGCAAAGTTTTTACATCATTGTTACATCTTCGATTTAACAATTTTAAACTTTTAATTTAATGTTGTTGCCTATCAGGCATTCTAGATAATATTAGACCCAGCAGTGTATATACTGCGCAGATTTCGAGTTCAAACCAAATAAGGATCCTCTTTAGATGGTTTAGGACCCAAATGCGTACCGAAGACCGAAACAGAATCCTCTCTGGTGCGTTGGACCAACCTCTGCAATTTAAATCGATAATTCAACGTCAATGCAAAAATGATATAGACACTCTTGCAATACTTTTAATTTGAAGATGTAGCATTCATGTAACATAGCATATCGAAATGCAACACCGACCAAATTGAGAATGCAAGATCAAGGACGCAAATGTATATTGAAGATGATCAGAGACCAAACTAGACTATGATTGTCTCCACTACACTAGAATCACTAATAATTCTAGCATAGCAAATTTAATGAATTGTTATTTACATTTACATTTTGTCCCGTTTATAAATATGATGAATGCTATTTATTGGTGGGTTTTGAATTAGAGTTGTCACGAATTAGAGTTGTCACTAATTTATTTGTATGGGAAGGGAACACATAATCCTTCAAAGGAGTGAAGTTACAGTTTTACCCTTAATTTACACGGGCGTAAATGAGCCCTAACCTTTTGGTATTCCCCTCAATCCCCTCCTAAAATAAATCCATTAAACCTTCTGATTTAAATTTCCATTTTAAATAATGGAGACTGGAGGAGACCTTCCCATAAGCTGCACATTGTTGTCCATCGAAATGTCTGGACCTAGCCACCGAACATGACATTCCATATTCAGAAATTAAACAGTAAAGACTGAAATTATAGATTTAAGTGTGTTCCAAGAAATTATAGAATTAAGTGAGTTCCAAGAGTAGTGCGACACTTGGATTTAAATGATGTTTGTGATTTGTGAGTAATTGTACATATTTAATATTTACTTGATCGATCAGTGTTTAGAAGGGCTCTATAGGAATGCCAGTCATGAAGGAGAGACGGACTTCATAAAGGTTCCGAATAAATGCCAGTCATGGAGAAGAGACAGACTTGATAAAGGTTCCGAATGTGTAGCGTAAGAGCACGGCACTGATGCCTTTTTAAATATTGGTATGCTTAGGTCAGCAAACTAGATATTATTTGGAACGTATTATGGACATTTTGTTGTGAGTTTGGGAAATTATTAGAAGAACCAATTTATATGGATTTCATTAAGAATTAAAAGATAAAATAATAAGGATAAATTACAATGACACCTCCTAAAGTTTGCTATAATGACAACTATATACAAGTTGAACATTTTTTGAACAATAACACCCCTGTCAGAATTTTGATCCAAACAGGCCTCTAAAAGGTTTGAAAAAACAAAATTACCCATCAATATTTAATTCACTTTAATCATAAAATACCATAACTCTGAAAAGACACTTTTGCCCTTGATTTCAATCGTTAGACCCAAAACCCGCCAAACCAAATCCCTCAAATTACCCAAAAGGCAACGCAAACAGATCTTTACTGAGAGATCGAGACGTTGCATAAGGACATTTGGTAGCAGATGAGGGCACTGCTGAAAGATTCCCAAGATACTGTCTACGGTGGAGCCGGAGGCAGCGGACAGGTTTCTATTTGGGTTTCCGATGAGGTACATGTGTATGGCGACACAGATGAAAGCCATTGTTTGATTTACCGTTGTCTATCATTATTGCATCACCAGAACCACATATTTTTCACATATTTGATAGGTTTTTTTTCCATCTACATCTGTGAGTCTCAGAAAAACCCAACTGATGCTTCTAACATCGGGACACCAACGGAACTCATTGATCATCGACGATGAGCGTTCGATTCAGGTAGACTTTGTTTGGGTATGATTCAGGTTGACTCTGTTCGAGATCCAGAACTACCATGGCTTGTTTCGAATCTTTATTAGGGCTTTCGAATCTGCTGGTTTAGACTCTGTTTGGTACGATTTCGTCATAGGTTTGATTGGGTGGCAGTGGTCGGTGGTGAAATTGGTGAGGTGGCAGCGACAGAAGATGATGTAGGAAAGAGGAGAGTGTGGGTGTGGTGGTAGCCATGGTTGGAGGAGTGGTGGTGACTCTGTATATGTATGTGTATGTCGAACCCCTCAAAGAAATTCTAGTGAGGCGCATGGAGAGGGGATGGTGGAGGATGGCCATGGTGAGTAAGGGAGGTGGTAGCCATGGTGGGAGGAGTGGTGGTGCCTATGACATGTGTTTATTTGTGTGTAAGGTAAAAACGATAATTTTATGGCCAAATTAAAAGTCAAAGGTCAATAAGGTCAATTTACCCACTAACATGGCACGATGATTGGAGGTGTCTTTGTTAACTTTAGCAAAGAGGGTGTGTTACTGTTAAAAAAATATGTCAAACTGTATTTGACTGCTAATAAGACAAACCGTAAAAAGTGTCATTGTAATTTACCTCAATAATAATAAATAAATAGTAAGACTGTCAAAAAAATCATTTCGTAAAAGGGGACATAAACTTCATTGTTGGATTGAGAGATTTAAGAATCATCAACTTAAACCTCAAAAACAGTCTCAATCAAATCAAACAGTTAATAAAAGAGCAGAGGTGTCTTTAATTTTCACCACCGACTTCTAGCATTCATGAAACTAAAGTTCGGAGGGAAGTCATTAGAATGATGAACATATAGCTACATTTTGAGAATTATATAAATCCCAATTGGGATATAACAAGTACCTGGGTATTCCATCAGTCCTTGAGAGATCAAGGTCTCTTTCAAATTCCTTTCCGAGAAGATTTCTGCAAAGGGTCACCTACGAAAGGTGATCTTTTATGATTTGGATCCTCTCCAAGTATTTCTCTCCACCAGCATCTCCAAACAACGGTTAAATACATGCTTTGGGAGAGAATACTTGGAGAGGATCCAAATCTGATCTTTTAACCAAGGCAGGCCGAGAGGTCTTAGTCAAATCTGCCCAATCAGATTGTTGAAGGAACTAAAAAGCAAAATCATCAATTAGATGGGACTAAGTGTGTCCTAAAAGCAGAGGCTTGCGATTTAAAAAAATTTGAAGCTTTCAATCTATAGCTTTGTTGGCCAAACTAGCTCATTTTGAAGCTTTCAATCTAGCTTTGCTGGCCATTATTTTACACAAACTGATGTGTCAAACCACTCTGCTCATCCTGTTGAGCGTGGGGTCAACTATAAAGAATTTCAAATTTGTATTCCTACCGTTCCAAACCACAAAATACTGCTTAAATTCCTCTTCATCAAGCCAGATGGTTGCCTCCTTTACAATGTCATTTAAAGATCAATTTGATGCATCATATAAATCATAAAGATTCTCCAGCCAGTTTTCTACTTCCCGACTCTGCATAGTCCAGGTGCAGCTGAGGCCATAGTCCTTAAAGCTTTAATGTCCCTAACAAGTCCAGATCAACTTTCCTTGGCTGTCATTGAAGATGTATCAAAGCTTTGCTCCAACACAGAGAATCATCTTTAGCTTGTGTCTTGGAAGTCGAGTGATTCAAAGTGGCTTCATAAGCCCTCTTGGCCTGTAATCCTTTGCACTTCGGACCAGTTTGATCCTTTCTAATGCTCTTTACTTTTGTTTGTGTTTATCTATATATACATAAATCCACCAAATAGGTAATCACTGTATCATATCACCAATTTTTAAGGTACTCAAATTTGATTGGCCATCTAGGCTTTGTAGAGAGCCCTATGAAGAGGAAACCCCCTTGACAAGAGCTATAAGCACCCTCTTTATTAACCATATGAGGTTGCCTTTGACTTTGCCTCTACATTCACAAACTATGAGAACAACTATAATTTTGTGGTCAATAACCTTACCCCCTCATGCATTGTGGATGTGTCCTTGTTTCGAACCCGATCTCCATCCAGGTCACAGTGGAACAACCTTTTCGTTGCACCAAGGCTCTAAATCATACTACTATGTAAAAATGAAGACTTCCAAGGCTCATAACCATATCAACGCTTCAATGATTCTTCCCAATGTCTACCACAGTTGCAAATGGTTAAAATGTTGAAACCTACTTCGCAGGTATGCTTTTATATTCACTTAGAAACAGGCTTCATATTAGCTTTGCCTAACAAAAATGATGTATAAACTGCAGATAAAGTTATTAACTTTCATTGCTAAATCTAACAATTCAACAAGTCAAACAGAAATTGAAATTGACAAAAGGCACGGAAGAAAAAGCAAATTACATATACCTAACAGCACTGTTTACCACCTTCGCGATGACGGCTCGATGCATTCCAAAGCAAAAGCAGCCACAACAGATTTGAACCCAGGTACAATAAATCTCAAAAAAAAAAAAAAAATTGAAATTATGAAGGCCAGATGCCATTCATTTATCACACTGCCTCAAAATTCTTGCTCCTCCTTCGGCACTTTCAGTGGGCATTGAGAATTGGATGGTCCCTGTGAACAGAATCAGGAAGAAACCATGACTTCAAGTTGCACAAATTCATGCAAATGCAAGTTGTTTATGAGATGCCAAGTCCTAAATCTGTGCTTCATAAATTATTGCAGACTTCACTCATCAGTTCATAGTACTAATCCCAAAATTTCTCCCCTTCCCTCCTCTCCTACACAACTCAATTTTTATCATGTTGCAATGGCAGGAAATGACTACCCATCCAACATACATTTTCTAACTTTACCACTCCATAGCAAAAATCAGAGTCTTGTCAAGACGTGTGAATAGTGATGCGATTCATGGCACATATTTTAGAACATTTACAAGGGAAGACTAAATATTGGAACCAATGTTGAAGAAAATTTCATCAGATGACCCCTAAGTCACAAAAAGATAAGAAAAGAACACATTAATTTAAGGGTAACTCTGTCAAAACACTTCGTTAGATATTAGAAAAATAATAAAATGAGATTGATATTTTCCTCCTTTTAACTTAAACCCACCCCCTCACAGAGAAAAAAAAAATGGGGGGGATATCTTTCATCTAAATGCAAGTCCTCCTCCAGCTCAAAAATCATTTCGTAGCTTCAAGAACCCCATCTGAAACAAGGTGTCTACGGCACTCTCCTTCAGTTGGGTTGAGGACTGTGATTAGCGGAACAGATTGAGGCATCTTGAGATTCAACTGAAAACGATAAGTGCCACTACCCAATTAGCCTAAATTCTAGTTCTTGCGCCTTTCGGAAAATCATCACATTTCCCCTACTCTCGTCTCTTATCTCTAGTTCATGCAGGAATCTTCATCAAACAAGCATTTTTCGGCAAATCTATTCAAGCTCTCAACTTTCTCTCACAATTCATTCCTAATCTTACTTTAAATGACTTCTGAGCATGATGATGGAAGACTCAGAATGTTCGGGTTAAGAGAACAGCTACTGGTCGTTCCTTCAAGCAGTTTCCCAACCAAGAGGCCCACTGACCTAATGGATTGCAGCCTTGAAGCATCTTTACTGGTGAAACCACAGGGCAAGCCCAATCTCTGTGAGGAATCTTAAAACTGTAGTCTGTAAACGCTTCACTCACTCTGTAGCTCAGATGATGACAATGTAGAACACCCAGCAAACATTTTTTATTGGCTTCTGGAATTATCAGGGAAAACTCATCGGAAAACACTATGATATGTCAACTAACTGAAAATTTACAGCATGCTTGAAACTCGTGAGAGGTACTTGCTCAAAGTTGGTAGCTGAAATTAAGTCATCCAGATCAGCATTTGAGACGTGAGTAGGAGAGCAAGCTTTATGAATGGACAAGCCCCTTTTTGGACAGATGAACCTGTACAGACAACAGCTTGGGCTTGTTCGAGAGAACTCCTATTTACCTCCCTCAAGATATTGTTTAACACGAAGGAACTTTTGCTACAAATATATAATAATTTATTATTATAACAAGAAAAGAAGGGTATTTACATAATAGAGTTTGAAATGGTCACTGATAATTATAATAAAAGAAGGGTACTTACAGAAATAGAGTTTGAAATGGCCACCAATAAGCATTTTATTTTTAAGATTGGTAACTATCCAATTTTTTTAACTCTATGGTCACCAAAAAGCAATTTTATTTTTTCTACAGATAGTACAAAATTATTTCCCCTTGACAACCAACCCCATCCCCCAACCCCCTAACCCAACAAAACCAAGAAAAATAAAACTCAGCTCTAGTTTATGCAGATATTCTTTAATCCAAAACAATGTCGTGAATTACAGTAAAAAAACATCGCACCAGTACAAAATTAGAACAAAAAATACCCTGCTCAAGGGAGTGATGTTCAAAGCAGCTGATATTCAGGGTCCATTTGGCGTTGCATTCATAATGAAAAAAACACTTTTATCAGTAGAAAAGCCATAAAATTGCTGCTAGCAAAAAACTTCTTAGGTATTTGGTGATATATTATATAAAGTACGATTCACAATTAAAGTATTTTTTCTTTTGTCTGGTAAAAATATTGTTTACAAAACTTATTACTAATTTTACAATAATGCCTTGTAATGGTGTGCTTTTATTTTAAATAATAGTAGGTCTTTATAAAAGTAGTAAAAAATTATAAAAAATAAAAAGGGATCAAATTCTCGAAGGCTCCGTTTGGTTAGATGGAAACAAGCTAGAAAACAAAAGAAATAGAAAGTGAAAGAAAAGTGAAGTGAATGAAAAGAAAAGAGATTTTCTAGTATGCACTTGGTTAGAATGAAAATTTATCTAAGAAAATTGTAGAAAAATATTAGTTTATTAGTTTGGATAGCATGAAAGTGAAAAGAAAGTGATTATGCATACCAAAACTACCCTTATGAAGTAAAATGATGGATTATTAAATTCAAATATATAATTGTTTATATTCATTTTTATTATTTATATTTAGAATAAGGCTTCATAATATTTCCTTAGGTAAAACTAATTATTAGTTTAAGGTACACAAATTTAAAAAAAAAAATTAAAAATTAGAGATGAAGAGGCAATACTACTATTTGGGAGAAAAATCAAATATTTCACCATATAAAATATATATATATATATATCCATACCGGATTATGAGTGACTAGAATTGCAACATAGAACAGACTATTAAAAAAAAATAAAAAATTCTATTTAGAAGCAGGATCTATTTTGAGCAATTTTACCCAAATTATCATTGATATTCTGTATATATAATTGTATAATTTGCCTTGCAAACTTTGCACGAATAAGGTACAGGGTAAAATAGGAACTGCAAATAAATAAGCGTCTCTTTCACATGCAAACCCACTATCAGCCATAGTAAGTAACTATCCTCAATGAATTCCATAAGAAAATTGAAGTTGACACAATGCCTGCAATAGAATTGCATGGATGACATATAGAGGAGTTTCACATTTTAAGTATCAATTGGTGTGGTTCAACTAGCAACAGTTTCCTTCCCTTATTTAATTAAGCAATACGAACAAACATTAAAGTATATTTCTCACTAAACAAAATAAAACAGATTGAATCATACCTTGTCCCGAAGACTGATTATTTTGGACCTCAACAGTTGATCCCCAACTATCAATCTCAACTTTTTAATAAAATCATCCCGACTGATTTTCTTGCTCTAATATAATACCCAAGAAGAACATAGAAAATTTCAAAATGAAATCAGAAAAAATATAAACCTAAACTGAAAAAGAACATGAGATAAAGAAGGTAATTAACATACCCTGAACAATTCATAGTGAAAATTCACCATTTTCATATCTTTAGGAGCGACATTATTTGAGATAGCTTCAAACAACAATGCAAAGGGCATCCAAGGTGATTTAGGAATCTTAGAGGTGCTTGAACCAATGCTGGCCTTTCCCTGAGAGTTGTTCTCAAGCTCTTGACATGGATGACAATTTCTCTCCTACAATTTAAAAAATTGCTGATTATTAAAAAATGAAAACCTCCATAACAATCTAAAAAAAAATCCAATCATAGTTCAACACCATATAACATATCAACAAGTCAATCTTTTCACAACGAATTCCCCAAGTCATGATGAGAAAATCTATGAAAAAACCATTCACCAGCATCAACAGTACACAAGAACAAACAAAACTCGGTCAATCCCTTACCACTGATTTAATAATTCTAGTCCTCCAAATTGGAAAAATAAAGAACAAAGGCATTCTTCTGATATAGAAAAGGATCTAGCAATAACCACAAAGATGTAGTAAAAATGTTTCAAACAGGTCTTGGGCCACAACTTAGTCAATCAAGAAGCTATCAAGTCCAACACAACCCATTGGCTGACAAATGATGATATCAAATCCCTGACTAAACAATTTGGACACCGAAAAGCTCAACTTCAAAATGGTTCACCGGAGAACAATTTCGAATCCCCGACTGAACAATTTGGACACTGGAAAGCACTTCTTCATAAGGGATTGACTAGTGAAAACTGTTAAAGTCATGTATACGCACAAATTGGGGGTGCAGGCCTGCTTGCACAACAACTAAAATCTCAAGCTTAAGCTCAGCTCCTGACGAGAAGCCATCACCTTATGCCAAAACAAGAACTCTCAGTTGCTTCTTATATTAATTTATTAAGGCAGAATGGACCCAGATCTGTTACCATCCTCGCAAAGATTTGCTGCCTGCCATACATAATTAGCAAAGATGACCTGCAATAAGAAGGGTCTTATAGTATTGAAACCTTACCAATTCAACTGACGATGAATATAGTTGCAACTGGCCCTGAGATTCCTGACAAGTTGTAACTCCTGATGTATCAAACCTGCTTTCTTTCCCATCCAGAGCCCCTGGAGTGAAAAATGGAAATGCTAGCATTCAAATACTTGAATATGCTCACTAATCCTATTTTATGATAATACATTCAGATATTAAGATTGCCAAGCTAGTAATATCCATTCAGATGATTTGACCATCTTTCATAACACGACTAATTAGATAATATGATTCAATACAGAGGACACACACGACTTACAGGGGCGTGAGGGATTGTGCTAAACTTGCAAAACAAATAAAAATCAAAATAAAAACAAAACCAAAAAATATCAATTATGAAAGACAAAAACATTTAGTAAGGTATAGAATAGCACCTTCGGGTCTAGCAGACACCTTGAAACTAACAACATATTCTGGATAGATGTGTGAGTTCATATTCATATTCCAAACAATGTAATGATTTGGATTTTGCAGATCATCAACTCCACTGTCAAAATTTTCGCTACTGGGATGAAATTGTCTAGATCCCGGATGAACAAGTTCCATATTTCCCAATATAACACGACAAAACACTATGTGTTGTACTCCATTTTCGTCAACATCACAATTACTTGCACTGTAGAGAAAATAAAAGCTTAATCCTTCTATGAATGCACATTAACAAGAAGCAAATACCAAAAAGAAAGAAAAAACAAAAAATAAAAGAGAAGAATAATACTTTCAAAAGAAAATTACAATAATTTACTTGATTATATTAAGGCAAGAGTTTGTCAAATATATTATGGTGTTGCTAATACTTCAAAAACCAAAATGGAAGTAGGGAAGGGGAAGAAGAAGGGAGGGAAGGGAGGGGGACGCCATTTAATTAATATCTGGTAGCAGCCATCACTGATATACGTAATTGTTCCAAATATTAACATAAGACAGGAAAAATAACATATATATATATATGCGTATACAAACCTGGTGTTGGCACAGTTCACAGCAGTGAGATGAACTCCAATGCCGTATGTGGTCTTAATTACAGGTCCACCATGCCCAAGCCCATAGGTCATGATGCTAGATACTGCATCTTTAGAAGCAGCAAGCCAAGCATACCGAACATTTGGATTTCCACGATACTTTTGAGCAATTTCAATCTGCTTCTGAAAAAGTTCCAAGCGGGCATGCATCAAATTACTAGAGCATTTGTTGATTTCAATTATATTTGCATTTAAGATTGGCTTCATGCCAGTCACAAACATGTTTCTCAAGACATCTGAATCCACAGTTTCAGAAATAGCTTCGAGCTTATGTGATAAATTTTTATCAATCTGTTGAATTTCCCCAACAGCCACTTCAATTTTGGAATCTGATTTCTGGTAGTATTTGTCACTAATACCCATGTTGTAACAATTCCTAGAGGAGTTTTCATCAATTTTAGTCCTCTTTACACTAGCATTTGACTCTTCCACGCATTCCTCCAACTTAGAGCTATTCACTCCATCTACTTCAATTTCGAGATGCAACTTGATCTCACAGGTCCCATTTGACCCCGGATATAATAATCCTTCGTCTCTTTCAATTTCAGCTTGGCAGCATTCATATTTTTCACAATTATTAGAGTATAATTCAGGAAAAAAGCAGCAGCCCGCTTCATCAATCCAAGCAATAGATTTCTGCAAACCTGTTTTCAAATCTACTTGAATCATATATAAAAAATCTAGCATTAAATGATACCCATTGAACTGCACTTCAGTTGCTGCCTTCTTAACCCGAAACCCTTCCCTGACCAAATCAACAATATCCTGAGGAAAATCAGTCCATTGACTATTTTGATAAAAGAGCAAACGTTGTGGCAGTCCGCTTTGAATAAAATTTGAATAGTTCTTAGGTAAAGATTTTTTCAAGCGTGACCCACACTTAGTTTTGCATCCAGCTGACCTCTTCCGCTTGCCAAGTTCACTAAGAATTGAGTCACGGCTAGACTGCAGTGACAACACCTTGTGACTTGCTCCAATTACACGTGCAGCATCCTTGGCTGCTCGTTTTCTCTTCAACTCACTGACATTGTCCATTACTTTAACCCACTTTGATTCCATTTATCTACAAGTATCCTTATTTACAGACTAAAACCCTAAATGTTAGCCGTTAGAGTAAGATACAGGTCTTCACTCAAAAATACCCAAGGAATCGTGTTGTGAAGAAGAAATCACACATCCTGGAGAAAAACTTAATCAGTTAATATTACTGTAGATGTGTATGTCATGCATATTAACAAACACTACAAAAGAAAATTGTTGTAAACAAGGAAATAAAGAAACTGTCACTTGTCAATGTTTCATTTTTTTAGATCAACAACATTCTATGTGGTTGAAGTAAACCAACACAACTGATTTCATCTCTCCTAATATAAAAGAAATCCCCAACAACCAAAGAATGGCTATCAAGTGCCTGCCGCTACCAAGCATCTATTAGATTACATCAATACCAAACTAGAGAGATATATAAACAAGGAAAAAAAAAAAAAAAAACTGACACTAGTCAATGTTTCAATTTTTAGATCAACAACATTCTATATGGTTGAAGTAAGCCAACACAGCTGATTTCATCTCTACCAATATAAAACAAATCTCCAAGAACCAAAGAATGGCTATCAAGTGCCTGCGCTACCAAGCATCTATTATACTACATCAATACCAAACTAGAAAGATATATAAACAAGGAAATAAAAAAACTGACACTTGTCAATGTATCAATTTTTAGATCAACAACATTCTATATGGTTGAAGTAAACCAACATAACTGCTTTTATCCAGGGGCGGTACCAGTGTATGCCAGGGCCCCCTGGCCTGGCCTGGCCTGGCCCGCCCCGCTTACTATAATACAAATACTAAATTTATATATTTTTACATGTATATATGAAAATTTTCATATAATGCCCCTCTAAAATTTTTATTTTCTAAAATTATCTCTTAAATTTTGTATTTCCTCTCTTTTTTACTCTTTAAATTCGTTTAATTTCCTTTAAAAAAAGTCAAATTTCCTTTTTGAATCAAGCTCTAATTTTTTTCCCTTTTTAAATTTTTTGTTAGCCATTTATCTTTCTTAAACTACTCATTGATTGACAAATTATTTTGAGTAATTTTTCTTCTTTGTCTCTTGATTTGAAGAATCTATATTACTGTGCCCCCAAATTTAATTTCCGGCTCCACCCCTGATTTCATCTGTCCCAATATAAAATAAATCTCCAACAACCAAAGAGGGAAGACCTTTGAATTTTTAGAGTGCTAAAAACACTTTTTTTTTTTTTTCCTTTGATTAGTACTCAAACACTGCTCTAATTTTCTTACTAAGAAGGGGAAAAAAACAAAAGAAACAGGCACAAAAATTCTGAGGTAAGGAAAAGTTAAAAACTAAAGTGAAAACTACCCTTCAGAAAATAAATTGGAAAAAGAAAAGCCCAAGTCAACTACAATAAGACAGTAAAATGAAACAATTGCATTAAGACAGTAAAATGAAAAAATGGGTCTACTTTTGAAATATATATATTCAGATGGTCAGCTTATTAAATTCAAAGGACCGAACTGATATCAGCTCTACGTCCAAAATTTTGATTTAGTTCCATTTTTCTTTAAATTTTATGCACAAAATAATTTTATGCACAAAACACTTTTTTTTTTTTTTTCCTTTGATTAGTACTCAAACACTGCTCTAATTTTCTTACTAAGAAGGGGAAAAAAACAAAAGAAACAGGCACAAAAATTCTGAGGTAAGGAAAAGTTAAAAACTAAAGTGAAAACTACCCTTCAGAAAATAAATTGGAAAAAGAAAAGCCCAAGTCAACTACAATAAGACAGTAAAATGAAACAATTGCATTAAGACAGTAAAATGAAAAAATGGGTCTACTTTTGAAATATATATATTCAGATGGTCAGCTTATTAAATTCAAAGGACCGAACTGATATCAGCTCTACGTCCAAAATTTTGATTTAGTTCCATTTTTCTTTAAATTTTATGCACAAAATAATTTTTCATGCAGAAACAAAAAGTAGACAAATAACACTGCTACAAGAAAATTTTGTTCAACAAATGCTCCAATTTGCATTAATCAAGGTGATATAACAAGTTAGTCATCTTAGCTTATCCAATATTACAAATAGGGACGGAGCCAGGATGCAAGGTAAGGGGGGGCAAAAATGAATTTTGGGGTGGCAATAATGCATTTTTTTAGGAATTTTAGGGGGGCCAAAAGTAATATTTTATGGGTATATTACTGAAAAAGAACAAATTATAAGGGTATATTACTATTGAAAAAAAAAAATTCAGGGGGGCCAATTGCCCCGACTTGTATGTAGCTCCATCCCTGATTCCAAATATAATATGCAGATCAACAGCCCGTTTTCAACTCCAGCATAGCACAGAGCACAAAAGCATCTGATAATGTAACTAGAAACCATAAATCAAATTACATTGAAAGTTTAAACACTAGATTGAACATGACTAGCTTTAACTTTATTAGTTACAAAGGAACAAATTTGTTACATTTAGCCCATCACTGCAAGTGTAAAAGAACATACCAGATTCCACAATTGAAAGCCATTTGTGTGCAGGTCTCTCTTGGCTCTGCCATTTGTTCAAAGTCGACGAATATTTTCCAATAGAAACTCCCAACAGCTTCAACACTTATAGTCCACTAAGATGTAAAATTTTGGTTAGTTATTTTCGTACACATATATATGAAATAAGGAAGTGCTAGTCTTCTTGAAAGGGATGCTCCACAAATCTTACAATGCTGCTCGCTTCATTTTTTTTTCCCCAATTTAACCCCAAAAGATTTTATTTATTTATTTATTTTTAACTTTGCAAGAATCTCACACACTAAGTTTGTACTATCGACCTTCTACTTTGGAAGGTGGGAAAGTACCACTAGGCTACAATCCTTGGTGGTAAAAGACTAGTTATCATTTCCTCAATTGCCACTTGCAAATCAATAAATTTTGAACTGCTTCTAATGAACATATCTAACAACCAAGTAGGGTTGCATTGTTGCAAATGAACAAAGCTGAGTTAAGCTTGAGATTGTTTGGGCGGGGTTCAACTTGGGTTAGGCTCAGTGTTGTGACGAGCTCAGAAAGTTGAGGTATAGCTTAGCTTAGCTCATAAACTTGTACATAAAACATATTAATTTTCTTGATTTTTCTTTTTTGTGGACAGATGCGCACAAACTAGTCGAAACTGTAAGAAACGTGCTCATAAGCACGTTTGGGCGGGGTTCAACTTGGGTTAGGCTCAGTGTTGTGACGAGCTCAGAAAGTTGAGGTAGAGCTTAGCTCAGCAACTCATTCGTATAACATATTAATTTTTCTTTTTTGTGGACAGAATGACAGATGTGCACAAACCAGTCGAAACTGTAAGAAACGTGCTCATAAGCTGAGTCTATAAGCCACTAATTTTTCTTGATTTTTATATTTTGTGGACAGATGTGTACAAACTAGTCGAAACTGTAAGAAACGTGCTCATAAGCTGAGTCTATAAGCCACATGTTGGCTTGTTGGCTCAATGAACAAGCACCAGCCAGGTTTTAAATGAGTTGACTCCAAGTTGTTCATGAGCAGCCGCTTATTTGCAGCCCCACCACCAAGGCATGATGATAACTAAAACAAATACTTTTTTTATATTTCTCTTTTGTTCTTGGACAGCATCAAAATCAAAATCAAGTAGCAAAAAATAAAAATAAAACAAAATAAATAAACAGGAAGAAAAAAAAAAAAGGTTTTTCATTTTTTTTTCTCTTACGAACTTCGTCAAAGATAATTACTCCCAAAAATTAAAAAAGACAAATTTGAAAATAATAATATTATAGATAAAATTAAAATAATAATATTCACTACTACCCATGATCATGAAACCCCTAAACCAGAAATTTTCTTTTTTATCACATCGATGGATAACTAACGATTTCTCATGAAATAACCAATAGGCTCTCACATCAAGAAATTGAATCAAACATAATAAATCATATAAAAAAAAAACAAAATACATATATAGAAAAATCCCTAAAAACCAGAAATTTTCATATTTTATCACATCGATAACTAACGATTTCTCATGAAAAAACCAACAGCCTCTCACATCAAGAAATTGAATCAAACATAATAAAATCATAGAAAAAACAAAAAACTTATATAGAAAAATCATTAAAAAAAAATCCAAAACTCCATAGAAATCAAAACCATCACGGATCTGCCAAAATCTCTTACAAACCCCAAATTCAAACACAAGAACAGTAAAAAATGAACAATTCTACCCAAAAAAAAGCCGATTCTAAGCCCTCAAACAATTTCATCCAACAAACACAAATCAAAAACGACAAAAAGAGAAGATCTTCACCTCGTTAAGCGTGAAGGCATAATTATCATCATAACCATACCCTTCATGATGGACCAATTCGTCTTCGTCGTCGTCGTCGTCTTCGTCACGGGAAGTGAGAGTTCGATCGGCGTGGAGAAGACGTGACGACGACGTTCAAGGTGCGAGGACCAACGGCGGTGACTCCATTGATAATTATTGTGTGGAGTAGGTATCGTTTGCGTGGGCGAAAAGAAAGTTAGAGAGATAAAGTTAGAGAGAGAAAGTTAGCGGTGGCTGACTTCGTAGCTTCGAAGATGGAGGTGAGATCTAGGGTTGTTCCATGTTTGTACAAGGTTAGGAAAATAAACGGTGTCGTTCCTAACATTATTGTCTATAAAACGATGCCGTGTTAGATGTTTGGATCTAGGTAAACGTTTGTGTCATTCCAAGTCTAAGTCGGCCCAAAATTGTTCACGAAACTTATAAAAAAGTCATAATTGCGTGACGCTCACTTTATTGAAAGTCTCTAACCCAAAAAAATAATATAATAATAATAATAAATATAAAATAAAAATAAAGGAAGATGCCCATGGTGTTTGTGAGGGGTACCAATTGTGAAAATAATTGTGAGTGCAGCATCCATCAACATCTTTCATGACTAACCTTTTTAGAAAGAGTGGTGACAAAAGGGCCCACATTTCACAACTCACATCTTCATGACTCAACAAACTTGTTTAGAAAGAGTGGTGACAAAAGGCCCCACAACTCATAAGGCTACTGTGGGGTTCACCATAATTAGAGTGGGGTCTACTCATTTACAGAGATTTGTGACTTTGTGTGTCGGACGGTTTGAATTTATCTTTTATAAAATTAAGGTATATCTATGTGATCTATAGTAATCTTGAAATTGTTCTATTTATTATTTTAATCAACAAATATTAGTTTAATCAACAAATTCTTTTAGCATTCTCATTGTGTATTTGTTAAAAAAAATCAAATCAGTCATTTGTTCAAATTAATTATTAGGCATAAATCGTGGTTGCATAATCTTTTCAAGCGTTTGAATTTAGAAGTTCTTGTTCCACACACACCTAAACCATATAGAAAGAGTCATAAGCTTATATTAATGGGTATATGGTACTATTTAAGAATTTAAAATTTTTGAGTTAGAAGACAAACTTCTAAAGAGACAAATGCCTGAACTTTACAAATGGTATTAGAGTAGACGTGTCCGCTTTGACTCGAAAATTAAAGGAAAATAAGTCTTTGTTTTATCATATATTTGACGGGACAATGCTTGAGTCTTACGTAAGGAGGATGAACAACGTGATCCAATACAATTTCAACAAGTGTATAAAATAAAATATAAAATTAAGTTGGGCATTGCCCATCTATTTGCGAATTTAACCCATCTTTCTTTTCTCTCTCCTCTTTCTTTCTCTCTCTACTTCTCCCATATCTTATTGTCCATTTGTGATCAAATTAGGCATTGGTTCAAATTAAACTTGTCTATTAACTAAGTATTACAAAAAAAAACTTGTTCCACAATCTATTGAACAAGTGTTAAAAGTTCTTATCCCACATTGGAAACAGATAAAAAAAAGGTTATACGTTTATATATTGATAAGATATACAACACCATCCAATAACTTCAGTTTTTGGATTTGAGGTGAGTATTCAGCCCTTATAAATGTTATTAGAGTCAAACATAGTCCTTGAAGCAGTGTCATGCCTGGCACCCACTACTATATGAGAACTTAAACTCTCGTCATTAAACTATGAAAGTACAATTAAGTTATAACTTGTGATGGTCATTTTGGCCATTGAATGAACCATGTTGTTACAATCTTGTTTGGCAATGTGCCTTTCAAGTCCCGAAGCCTCGAGACATTCTAAAGGACAAAAGAACCTCAAAAGGTATTTTCTCAGCCTTAAGGCCTCGAGAAGAAAACCTTCAAACCCCAGAGTCTCGAAGCTCCCTTATCAATCTAGAGGAATAATCCTTAAAGTCGTCAATAGAACTCCTAAAATAAAGATGTCGAGGGAACGCAAGTAGGACATACACCAATACTACTCAAGCTACTAAAAAAGAATTTTCGAATACCAGGTGAGATACTAGAGCATGCCTCAAGTAGCAGGCCCGACCAAGGGAATGGTGAAACACATGCCATGCAAATCTCTTACCATCACATTTAATGTCATAATTGGATCATTGATTCTGAACTAATGCCATTGCCTATGAGGCGAATGAATTAAATGTTTGTATTACCTAATTAATGCGTTGTTGTCACAGTGAAGCGAAACATAAGGATTGACCACATAGGTAGCAAAAAGAGTAGTATATTTAATGATAACCTGAAATCCTATGTATGGGATAAATCCCGTTAAACTTTGAACCTTAGGGTATTATAACCGAGGAACTTAGGACTATAAATACAGGCATAATGGAACATTAATGACCAAAACTCAATTAACTAAAAATCACATAATATCATAACCCATTTACTTTCAATCTCTGACAGAAGTATTCCTACATTTACCGTTAATTATTTTCTTTGGTTGGTATACTTCTCTTCTTTCTACCAGAAGGATCCTTCAAATTGTATTGTGATATTCCTTATTATTGTTAATTATATTATTATGTTATGATCCCAATACCTACAAAGGGATTAAGAGTTCTTTTATCACTTGACCAAATAGAGTCACAATAATCTATTAGTAATTAATTACTAATTAGAGCATTAATTAACCATTTTAAGTCTTCTAATTCGCTGAATGTGTTAAAGTGTTTCTCAAGTTCATCATAGTGCTTTATTTGAGGTGGAGAAATCTCCAGTTGATGTAGAGTTATGAAAAAATCCTTGTTCGAGGTGGAGATATGGTCGAGCGCATGAAGACATAGTCTGATCACGTGTTGATTACGTGAATGATTTGCGAGGTTAAAGTTGTTGATTCTTGCTGTGAATTTTGGCTACTGCCAAAGTTGAACCGGTTCAAATGGCTTTGAACCTGTTTAAGTGTGACGTCAACTTTTGGCTACTACCAAAGTTGAACTTGTTCAAAATGACTAATCCGGTTCAACTTGGATAGTGAGTTTTTCTATAAGTTGCGAGAAACAGTTTCCTAATTAGTTTTGGAAGCCATAAAACTTGGGAAAAAGCTAAAGATTTGGGGAAGAAGTTATACCTTCTATTTTAGAGTTGAAGGCGGATATGATAACTCCTTGTAGGCAAGTTAGGAAATATTTGTCTAACAAGAAATTGGGTTTTGAAGACTCTATAAATAGAGATGTGTATGAGAGGTTGAGAGAGAAAAGATGTAAGGGGTTTAAAGGTGAATGTTGTGAGAAGAGGGAAGAATATATGTAATTTTCGAGTACATACATGTAGCCTCAAAAGAGATAATGAGTGAGTGAGTGACGTTTTAACATGTACTTATATATTCTCTTCCTTGATTTATAATAGTGAAACCTCTCTCTCCCATGGACATAACCCTAGAGTTGGGTGAACCATGTAAAATAATGTGTTGTGCATAGATTGTATGATTGTTATCTCCACACATGCTTGTGTTAATGTGATGTGATGATACTTTTGCTGTGTGTGATGAACAAAGGATTTAACTTTCATCAACAGCCGATCATTGAGTGGGTTGGAGGGAGTTAATTATTCCCCAACTGTGCCCATTCCATTCATAATTGATAAACTTAAATCCTCTCCGATATACATTTGAGTCTAGTACACGCAGTGCAATTAAATATAGAATGTAATATCACGTAACAACTTTAAATTGATAATAAAAAACCACTAAATAAGAAATTCAACAATAATATAGAAAGTATTTCATTATCGTTTTAATAGTGTTGGGAGTGTTGCATAATGATATGAATGTTATAAATGTGTTACATTTTAAAAATAAATGTATTGCATAATTATTTATATTGTTGTTACATGAGTGTTATGTTCTCAATATAACATGTTACGTCTTCAATTTTAATTGTGTTAAATAAACCAAAGCATCGAAGATGATCCTAATTCCATAAATTGACATTGTTACAAAACTATTATGAATTATTCGGTGGTTGTAATTGTTCTAGCCATCTGTTTAGGATGATTAAGCAATTTAAGTTCTTAGACCATGTTTTGCTCTATGTTTGTTAATAGTAGTTCTTGATGCATTTGATTGATCCTCTTTCATGGCATTTTTAGGTGACTATTTAAATTCTCTTAAATTCATTTGATTAAATTAAAGAGCTTGAATCATTTCTATTAATTTTATATTTTCTTTTTAAGTATTTCTAAGCCATCACTTTACGATTGTAAACATGTCACATCATCACTTTGTTTCAATTTAATTGTGTATATATGTAACTCTAACATGGTGGGTGGTAGTTAAACAAGTAATGACGCAACTTGTTCGCAAAAGCTAGATAATGGCTTAGAGATACTTGAAAGTAATGAAAATTGAAAAGTGAATGTAAACATGATGATATGACATTTTGTAATGTTCCGGATTTTTTTTATTTTTTTTAAAAATTTTATTTTAATTATTTTTTGTATCTCGTTTTGCGTGCCACCTAGGCCCGAGGGCCATTTCGGTTATTTTTTGAGCCGAGGGTTTTAGAAATGTAATTTTAATTTTTTAAAGTCATTTAGACGCAATGGGATTGGTTTTAGAATTTTTCGAAGGGTCGGGATGATTTTTGTGTTCTGGAACTTCTTTCGATTTTCTCATTTAAGTGAAGGGCATTATGGGAATTTCACACACATATATACATATAAATGTAAGCATATATTGAGATATTTTATGGGATTTTAATGGAAGGAATTGTTTAAGTGCAGGACAAGGTGGTAAATTAACCAAAAGTTAATTCCACTCAAAGCTTGACAAACGGCACACTTAGGGTCATGGAATCAATTGCAAAAAAATCAACCCAACCTCTCTCCCTCTTCATTCAGCCGAAACCCCCCTTTCTCTCTAGTTTTCTTCTTCCTCTCTCTATATATCTATACATCTATATACACATATGCCTCTATTGTTCCAAACCTTGATTTGAAGGGGTTAGAGTGAGATTTTGGAAGTGACCAAGAAAGGAAAGGTGGAGAGCTTGGAGAGAACTTTCATTTGAGACCAATGGTGCAAGGGTTTGGAAATTTTCAAATTTAGGCTAAGCCTAAGGGCTTGTTTGGTTGCATACTTTATGGTAGGGGTCTCTAAACCTCAATTCCGTTGATTTTAGTAAATTATATCCCTTGTAATTGCAATATGGCATGCTAAATTGTGAGGTTTTCTTATGGTTATTAAGATTCTAAATATGTAAAGTATGGTAGTGTAATTT